CAGGCCATGGTTAATGCAGTCTGGGGCATTTGGTCCCCAGCAGCTGAGAAGCTGGACAGCCCTGTTATAGGTCATATTGTGATGTTCTTCATGTCTGGATCCAGATATGCAGGCATGTGTGGTTTGTGGCACTGCAAGCCTCTTTGTGGTGCCACAAACTGCACATTAAACCCACTGCAAAGTACATGGACAAGGGCATTCAGTAGGGCACAAAGTAGCAGCACAAATTTATGGCACTACTATTTGTGATGCTGCAAACGCACACCCCTGCTTGTGTGGATGCGGCCCATAAGATAATTCCAAGACGGACTTCTTTAGTTCAGACAGAGGTAGTTAGCCATGTTATTTGGAAGTCAGGTAGCAGGTAGTGTAGAGGTGTAGTTCATGCATCTGTTTCATTTAGTTTATAAGGAGCACCCCTACCTTGCCTTCTCTAGTTCAGTTATCAAGTGCTGGTCAGACATTTTAGTTCAACACTGCATAGCAAAAATTAATAGTAACCCCCCCCCCCCAAAAAAAAACCAAAACCCTCCCTAGAAACCATCCCTCTTAGAACAGCCACAGTTGGAGAACAGTTTAGATTCAATTAAACTGATAGGGCACACAGTTCAGATCCAATTTAATTATTTCTCATTTTATGCAAATGAGATTTCCAATTGTAAAATCAAGCAATTATTTTCTCCTGGCAGTTTTTCATCTGTATGGTTAGTACTTAGTACTTGTTCTGCCCCTAGCTGAATTAAAACAATGGAATGGTCTGGTTTTTAAGTGGAGTTCTGGGCATGCTACAGTCAATTGTGGTCTGGTTCTGGCTTAAATCAATGAAGGGTATTTTGTGGCTAATTTACCACATAGCAAAATTCAGGTTGTATTTTTAGTAAATAAGGTTCTTGCAAGAATAATTGTGTTAAACTTTTTCCAGCTGGAGCCACAATCCTGGCCATTTGAGGTGTTCGTGTAGAAAGCTCTTCGTCTTGTATCTTTTCACTGGAACTATGTTTTTTCCAAAACTGAGTACATAATATAGCCCAGGTATATATGCTGCAGCATTGGATAAGCTCTTACACAACTCTTTCAAGAGTGTACAGACCAAGAGGCATTCCATGATCTGTGTTTCCATGAGATCACATATCTGTGTCAAGTCTAAGGCAGTGTTTCTCACCTAGCATGCCACAGCATCCTGAGGTGCTGTGAGATTCTTTTAAGGGTGTCCCATGGTTCCATGCAATATTAGTAGTGTTAAGCATGCAAATACCTACATATGATTTACATGATAAATCCTGAGATTTTATAGGAATTCACAATGTAAAACCATTCTGACCTGCTGTGGTCTTTTGGAGTTCTTTGCAACAGTTTTATTTTTCTGTAATAATAAAAAAGTGACAGCTAACAAGTGGCATTCTCCAAAGGGTGCCTTGAATCTAACAAGAAATATCGAGCATCAAGTAAAATTTCAGAAACTTTCCTTCACCTCAGTACCTACTCTGCATATACCAATCTTTCCTTCACCAGGCACAAGTATTGTGCTGCTGAGCAGTAGTGTGCAAGTGTGGTAGTTCTTGGTGTTGTTGGGTTGGCTCCCTATTGAGAATGTATGAGCTTCCTCAGCACAATGTTCCTGATGTTCCAAATCCTCTTTTCCACATATACCCTGAAATAACTATGAGGTCCAGTGCCATTCCCAGGTAGACTGGATTCTAGCAGTGGGCGAGTTGTATCAAATTCCAGGTTATAATGACAAGGTTCTTTGGGTGAATCTGATATCTTTTATTAGACCAACTTAAATAGTTGGAAAAAAAATTATAGCAAGCGCTTGGGTTTAAAAATCATTCATCAGGCTGAGGAAGTCTCTTCAGTCAGTGTGTACTCTTCGTGGATGGAATGAATAGTAAAGAACAGGTTATAATGGTTATAAAGGTTATAACGAGATATTCATTAGCTTCATGAGTCTGGAGATGAAAAAGAATCACTTTCATTTTAGCTTGTTTGGCACATAATTGGTTTATGGGAAAGTGATCTGAGGACACAGAAAGTGTTGATATTAATGTATTTTTACTTGGACAAAGTCCATGACTTAAGTGGTAAGTTTAAGTCATCCGTATAGATAAACCATCTTGTGCCAAGATGTATTGGTTGGCCATTTGTGTAGACACTAGTACTGTTCCTTGCAGTAGGCCATTTTGTTGTCTTTGCCATCAGCTTTGCTTGTTTCATAGTTCATCCATTTTCAGTAGAGACTATCAGTTGTGTCATGTGATGATCTTTCACTATGCTATATATTTTTGCAAAGAGCTTCTAGTGGTTTACAGTGTCACATGCTGCTAACAGGTCAGTGAATACAGGGCCTGTGAATATATCCTAAGCATCTTTGGTGTGCTAAGTGATGTTGAGTGTGCTAAGTGATGTTGAGCACTCAGCCAGTATATGACTTTTCTAGGTGGAGTCCATCTTGCTTTGCAATAGGGTGAAATATATATATGAAAGACTAAGTTTTTCACATTCCCGAAGCATAACAACATAAAAAATTATGAGAGTTGGCAATACTGCATTCCTCATGGAGTTTATTCCTGAAGTTAATTCAGTCATTGTATACTATGTGCCAGAGTGACTAATTTCCTGGTCTTATTGCTAAAGCCATGGCTTGGGTTGCTTATGTGATGCTGTATGGTTTTCAAGGAGTTGATGTGCAAGCTGTCTGCCGTGATGTTGTCAGAAGTGGATCCAGGATTTTGCAAAGCAAGGGGTGGGAGCAGCAACCAGTGGTGCAAGAGTGGCTGCACCCATCACTGCCAGCCTCATCCCCCTGCCCCCAGAGTGGGCAGACCACACCACAGGAGCAGCAGTCAGGGACTTTTTAAAGTCCCCAAAGCACTTAAGAATTCCACTTTCTTCCCTACCCTGCTCAGAGGCACATCCTTCCTCCCCCCTTCCCTCCTTCTCCCCCACCTGCTGCTCTCCCCACTGTCCCAGGGGTGAAGGGAACTCCAAAGCCACTCCGGCCAGCGTGGGACAGCAGCAGTAGTGGGCAGGCAGGTTCCTCTTCCTCACACCTGCTCTGAAGTTGGTGGGGAATAGCTGGGAGGACCAGGCAGAGAAGGAGAAACCTGCCTGTCTGATGCTGCCACTGCTGCCACTGTCCCATGCTGAGCTCGGCCCCTGCACAGCCCATCTGGAGTGGGACAAGAGCTTCCTTTGCCCGGGGGACAGTGGCAGCGGCAAATAGGGGAGGGGTAAATGGGAAGAGAGAAGATGGGGAGGGCAGTGGAGGGCACGTGCCTGTGAGCAAGGAGAGAAAGCAAAGGGGGATTTTTTATCTTTTTCAGGGGCATTCTGCTGCTTCTCTCATGTGATCAGAAAGGGGTGTGGCCACACCATGGCACCCCCTCTGGTTCCACCCTGGATGTTGTAGCATTGTTTCACTAGTAAGCTTCCTTATAGTTGCCCATGCTTCCTTGTTGTTGTGGACTATACCTATGCTTTCTGTGAGGTTCTGCCATGCTTTTCTTCTTTCCTCTGTGAGAACAGAGACCAGTTCATCACTGTCGCTGCCGTGCACTGCAGCAAGGAGTCCGGGAGCCTTAGAAGGCCGTCAGGCGGGTACTTGTGATGCTTGGAGTGGAATTAATTAGGCGGACACTTATCGGTTGCAAAGCAAGATTATTTACTCACACCGTCAAGGTGGTGAATAATGGAGGTCAGAGATACTTGGTTAGTTACAGCTCAGGGTTCGTAGGTCGGTCTGCATAAGTGGTCGGATAGAAATGGTTGGGCAGAAAAATGGTCGGGCCGGCTGTCAGTCGTCGATTTACGTCTGAGATTGGGTCGAGACGCGGGGGGGCACTGACAAGTGATCAAATTGCCAGTTACTCTGACACGTATGTTCAGAGGTCTCCAGGTGTATACGGAGTTGCTCTCCCCTTCTTCTTCCTCTTTGCGGAAGTGTATCGGGGTTTTGTTTGTGTACTAGCCAATTGCTTTTCGTCACGTCATAAATTTAATTAGAATCACCAATTATATAGCGGTTTTCGCTCAGGTATTATCACAGGGTTACTCCCTGTTTTCTCTGACCAATTATAATGATTTATGTACAGCACAGAAAGCTAAGAGTTTTATCTTTGTTAGTGGCGCAGCAATAAATTTCTTTTTGGCATGCACAGCAGAGAAGGCTGTTGTTATCATTTTGTTAACCCTTAGTTAACCTAGTGAAAATAAAACTGAATGGTTTCACTTGCTTGTGACATGGGCACTACTTAATTGGGTTGTGACAATCACCTGCTATGATGGTTAGGTCTATGAAGTTAGGTATATTTCTAATTTATTTCAAATCAGAAAGATCCCAAAGCTCTCCCTAATATGCACAAATGCACTAAATGCAGCAAATGTTCAGCAGCATACAGCAAACAATACATAAGGGTTTTGGTCATGAAGTGGATACTATCATTATCAACTGAAATTACTGAGGCTTACTTCTCTCCCATGGATAGAAGGATTTTATGGGTGATAACTTTTTTGGACCAGCTGTATGGTTGGGAGAGATTTAAACAAGCTTTTAATACAAAGTACCCTTCCTCAGGTCTGACCTGAAACCTAAGAAAGTGCATCTTGTACCCAAATGCTTTTCTAAATCTCCTCCAACCACACAGTTGGTCCAATAAAAGATATCACCCACAAACATCTCTGCTTTCCACATATTTCCTCATATAGACCAGCATGGCTTAAACTTCCACATATGGAATGAATGTGTCTTCATAACACTCTGTAAAGTAGCATTCAGGAAGGTTTTGTGCCATTTTTAACAGATGGGGAACAGAAGCACACAGAATATATATGAATTAACCAAAATTAGTTTGGAAGTCTATGTTGAGGTCAAGCACTGAATTCAAGTCACTTGAACTCCAGTCTTGTGCCTAAACACAGGTCAATTCCTTTTCCCAGCTAGCAGAATATAACTCACTTGCTCAGGACACAGAAACTAACTCCCCTTATGAATGTGCATTTAGGTAATGTTCCATGTGACTACCAAAATGAAAAGGAAATTCTTCTACAAGCCATCTGCATACAGCCTTTAAGGAAAAATGCATGGAAGCAAATAAAGGTAAGAACAGTCCATGAAGAAAATGGTCTCTGCCCTATATATGTCATAAAGGTACCATTTGGAGGAGCAAAAAGAATCCATTGGCCTTGCCTAGCCTACCTTTCGCAAACAAGTTTGTCAATAGTGTTAATGTTATCAAAACAGCTAATGCAGCAAATGTATCATTAATAAAATATCCACCTCTGTTTATTGCCTATTGAAAATCAGATTTTAAAATAACAAATGTTCTCCTCAAACACGCTGACTCAAAAGCTGTGCAAATTAGCATGTATTTTACATATAAAATTCAAGTGTGTGTATTTACCCCAGAAAGAATGAATCATCCTTTTGCATGCCAGGCTTTTAATCTGAAGTAATTCTTCATTCTGAGCCATGATTGTTAAAGTTCATCTAAAAGTAGTTTGTATCCAATGAGAATTGCTGATAGAATTATTATCCATCTAAATGCACATTCCCACTCTATATTTGCTGTGGGACTACTTTCTGGTTTATCAGTGCCAAGGTGAATTTTCTCCACCGCTAATGTTCTCCATTTACTGGAGGGCACAGGGAAATAAGTGCTTGCTCTTATCCAGCCAGAACCAGCTGTGTCAGGCAAGGTAGCTGAATTATAACAGCAGGTTTATAATAGTAAAGCAACAAGTAATTTATGAAGCTTAAAAGACTGCAACATTCAAAGCTGACTGCATCTCTCAATCCCATTTTGGGCCAGATTAGATCATGAAGATGCTGGCCTGTATTTGGAGCTTCTGACAGATGAGTAACAGCAGAGACAGATATCGACATTCAATTTAAGGAACAGTTGAATGCACAAGAAGTGTACATCTTCTCTTAGAGTTGAATACTACTTCCTGTAGTGGTAGCAGGTGAGTCCTTTCCATGTAAAACCATGGTAGTACGGTCTGTAGAGAGCTTAATGGAATCTCTGACATTTCTTCCTTTGGGTACCAAACATTTGCTTCAGGAAAGGTGTTTTGTTCAGTTTTATTTAATTTTTCCCTCTTTCTATTGTGGTTTAGGCATATAAAGGTTGCCAGTCCTGAGAATCTCATTGTTATGAGTGAAAGGCTTTTGTGAAGATTAAGCTTTTGCAGTACATCGTAAAAATGGTCAGGCAATGGATTCATCTGCTTTCCTCTGGCAAATCCCCTGAAAAAGAACATTTTGTCCTCATCTCTCACTTGCTTTGCCCTAGGGCTTTGTGCTCTGGATTGCCTTATAAAAGTGCAACTCTCTTTGTGATTCATAGCCGGAAATACAGTTCTTGATATGTCTGGGTCTTGATCCATTAACTGTTTTGAAAATTAGAACCCAGTCTTTCACCTGCCGCTGGATGCTAACGGCCAGTGGCAGGAGACAGTGGGTGAACTCGTTTTGTACCTCATGGATTTTGATGAAATCATTGTAAATTCCCACCCCTTCATAAAAGGATTTTGGAAAAAATGTATAAAGTTCATGCCTAGCTATGGAGACTTGTCTGCAATATGTCTGAGCATGTGTTAATTAGGGTGGTGCCTTCATGTCACAACAATTGAGGTCAAGGAGGAACCATTACTCCTACACCCCGCAGCAGCATACAGCTTGTCAGGGCAAGCAGCATTCCTCCTTTATCACCACAGGTAGCTTTTCTGGCCAGTATAAGGGGAGATGCAGGCCCAGATTCTTACATGCTCTTTTTGTGGTTGACTACCACCCAAGCAGATCTCAACCAGGGAGCACATCCTGTATTCAGAAGAGCTTGCCTAGCAGCTCTGCCCAGTGGCTTGAGTAGATATTTCCTGTACTCTTCTCCAAGCTTTGCAATAGCTCCATACAGCATGGCTCATAACAGTTTCAAAAGCCACATACTGCATTAAGAATAAATATGAGGCTTAGGTTTATATTTGAAGAGCATAACACAGCCATCAGTGCCTTTATCATGGGCAGTGCCTTGGCACTAGGTACTACTTCTTGAGGCACTTGCTTGTACTCATGTTTACATCTACAAACTGGTCACAGGGGAATAGCTGTAGGAATGAATGGAAATGGCTCCAGGGGCTTCAAGGTGTGGAGTCCACTATTTGAACATGAAAACTAAATACATGTGCTTCAAATGACAGCATTTGTTTATGCCAGGGTGGCATCCACATTTCTCTTTTAACTGTTTTAGGCACTCAGGAAATCTCCATGCTGCACATATCTGGTGTTAGATGCATATCTCTGATTTTGCTTGCCATGGCACTACTTTCAGAGATCCAAAATGAGTCAGGTGGCCATCACACAGTTTATGTGCGTCAACTTTTATCATATAAGTTCTTAACTGTCACTACTCTTTCTTGAAAGTTTATGTCCTATTACATAATGGTGTAACACTTGACTTACCAGTTGTTACTGATGATTACTAATTTTATTCCTGTGATGCCTAAGAGCTCTGGTCCTTGACCAAGATTGTGCCTGGCACTGTATAAACCCAGAATACAGAGATAGTCCTTGTCCTAGAGTGTTAACAATGTAAATATGAGATGAGAGACAACACATGAATCCAGATGAACAGGGGAACACAAGGGAATAATGAGATGAATCAGTAAGCATGTTACGAAACAGGTTTTCACCAGGAGACTGGTTTTTACTGGGCCTAAGAGCAAAGGGGATTTTGAATGGAGGACCTGAAGGAGATTGATAAGGAAGCCAGGCAGATGAGGAGTTGCTTCTAAGTGAAAAGGAAGGGAGAAAGTACAATAATGCTTGTTTGACTTTATTGAGTTCACTCCAGAATTAAGTCACTACAACTGAGACCAGAATTGTCCTCCCATGAGAAGAAATTGACTCCTAGGACCAGACTTTTAACAACTGAGAATCTGACCCTTAGACATCTGGATCCTAACTTTCAAATACTCCTGAAAATGTGCCTGCTGAGTTTCTATCCACATCTTTTATATTTGGCAAAAAAACATAAATCATTTGCTTTTGGCAAGCAGATGCAATAGGTGTACAATTACTCAGTTAGAGCACACATCTGTACAATGCAGATAAGAAATAATTTTCCACCTTTGCTGTGAGATGCATGCAAAAAAGAGAGAGAGAGAGAGAGAGAGATTTCAAGGGAACTGTATAGGTAGCAAGTATTTATATTGTTACCACCCTGGTTGCTGTTAAATGGTAAACCAAAGTCCAGTGGTGGATGAAGATTTATTGGGGCCCTGGGCAAACAGAAAATTGGAGACCCCCACCAGGTGAGGGCAGGTTTCCTCTGTGCCTGCCAGGGGGCTGCAGCTCGGCCCTCCCTGCCTCCTTGGCATGTCCGGGGCAAGCTGGGAATCAAGTGCTGTGGAGGTGAAGGCAGCCCTGGACCTGACCTGACCTGACCTGGCCCCTCCGCCTAGTAGGTGTCATGTAGCCAGGGCTGCAGTCCCCCAGCACTGCGGGACTGGCCAGGGCCGGGGCTGGGACCAGCCGGGGGGTGGAGCATGGGCTCCACACTGCCACCAGCTGCCTGCCCACCCCTCTGCCGGCCCCAGCAGGGCAGGACTGTCCCATTCCATTCTATCCCAGCGGTGCTGGCACTGGTGGCTGCCCGCAGATGGTAGAAAGCAGGAGCAGGGCTGCCTATGGGGCCTCCTGCCAACAGATGGTTCCAGGAAGCCACCGCCACCCACATGGAGCCCTGTGCCTTTCCCCTAGCCTCTTCCCTGGCCTAGCTAGAGGGGAGGAGGCATGTACTGCCAGCCTTGGATGCCATGGGCCTGTGCATTAATCCTCCCCTGCCAAAGTCATAAGAAACACAATGATGTCAGAGAGGACAATAACAACTGGATTATGTTTTCTTTAGCTTGTTGAATTTTATTGTGCTTCACTTCTTTGGAAATAAATTAAATGAGCTTATTTTTGCGCACACAGCAAAAATTTGCCAAAATGTAGACAACTCACTGTCTAATATTTTTCAAATAAATACAATGCAGACCCCATAACAAAATCTCTTCCAAAGTTGCTGATATGTTTCAGCAAAAATTTCATAAGGTCTAAATGAAAGAATGAAGAAAATGATGTACATGTTACTTCTATAGCTCCATCCAGTCATCTTCATCTGCTGAGATTTGCAAGCAAATTAACTTTAAGTCCTATCCTTTTCTGATTGTCTTTTCTCCAGCAAAAGAGAGATTTGCAACCAAACAGACCTCTCTCAGAATTGAAAGCAGATTTGCTCTTTCAGAATTTGCATCTCTTCAGCATAAACATATCTTTTCACCAGATTTATAGGAAATGCACATTGTCTGGCATCCTTGTAACTCAGCTCCTTAAAGCTCTTGTTTATTGCCTGCAGATTCAGAAGTTTCTATAATCCTCAAAAGTATAACTGTGTCTGTTTTGGTGTGTATATATTTATGATGGGTTAACAATCTTTTAAAAGAGAAGTTAAAAACCTTTAAATTGAGCTTCACTTTCTATGGGAATCTTTTTTATTGTTATTATAGGTGATACAGGCAATTACCCCTATAGTTAAGACCACCAGACATATGGTTCTTTTATCATTTGCTTATAATTTGCCAAACTGAAACTATCTGGGATAAAATCTTTCCTTGCAGGTGTCTTGACATGAACTGTACAATCCTGATTATTCCCTGAGTACTATCCATCTTCTGCATTGAGACAAGTATTCTGTTAAAAAAAAAAAAATATAGTACTCAGTTATGTAATTAAAGACTAACAGAATATATATACACCATGGGGCAGAATTAAGCTTGTATGGGAAATGAATTCTAGAATTTCCTAACTTTTGAGTGTTTGACCATGAGCTTCAGCTTTCATATATGTGTTGTTTTTTGCACTTGATTTTATTTACAATAGTGATATATTTGTTGTAGGAAAGTACTATTTTTTCCAGCATGTGATCACCTGCTAAGTGGGAGGTAGGCTCCATCACCAGCTTTTTTTCACCTAAAATTCCAAACAGCTATTCAGTGATGATACCCTTCAGTCTCTACCAATTTAGTCTGGGTTCCCCATACAGAGGAAGGAGGCATCTTATTTCATCTGAGGTGAAATTCCAAAATGAAGCTCGTGTACCAGGTCTCTATTCAAAATGAGGCTTGGCTGAAGCAGAAGCTTTCTGCAGGGTTGAATTTCGCCCAGTGTTCCAGTTGCCATAATGGCCATAGCAGATGTGCTCACTTTGCAGACCTGTTAGAGTCTAATGGTTCTGTGAATTCTGCTAAGTACCTGTCATCAACAATCTCAGATGGGACACAAGGAGAAGAGGAACCTCCTCTCAGTTCTTCCCAAGCATTTGACTTCCAGTCATTCCTTGGCTTCTTCAGATGTTATGGCAGACTCTTTCATTATCCTGGAACACTGAAAGATCGACAGATAGATCCAGCTCAATACAGTTTTTCTATGCTTCTTATCACAGTTGGCAAAACTGGCCAACTGCGGCCTCGGGTCCACCATGATCCACTGGCTGGGAAATTGGCTCCGTGGTCGGATGCAGAGGGTGGTGGTTGATGGAAGTCATGGTGCCCTGTGACCAGTGGGGTCCCTCAAGGCTCTGTTCTTGGACCCATATTGTTCAACATCTTCATTAATGGTGTGGACACTGGAGTCAGAAGCAGACTGGCCAAGTTCACCGATGATACCAACTTTGGGGTAAGCCATGGGGTAAACTATGGGGTAAACCATCCACACCTGAGGACAGGAGGGTGATCCAGGCTGACCTTGACAGGCTCAGGAAATGGGCAGACGAGAACCTGATGGTGTTTAACACTGAAAAATGCAAGGTTCTCCACCTTGGGAGGAAAAACCTGCAGCATCCTTATAGGCTCGGCAGTGCTACGCTGACTAGCAGTATGGACGAGAGGGACTTGGGGGTCAGGATTGATCACAAGATGAACATGAGCCTTCAATGCAATGCTGTAGCTAGTAAAGTGAGCAAAACCCTGGCTTGTACCCATAGATGCTTCTCAAGCAAATCCCAGGACGTCGTTCTCCCGTTGTACTTGGCCTTGGTGAGGCCACAGCTGGAGTACTGCGTCCAGTTTTGAGCTCCACAATTCAAAAAGGATGTGGAGA